GTGAAGCCATGGCAATTAATGAAGCTTTAATTTATATAGAAACACACAACTTAAATAAGTCGGTTATTCTGACCGACTCCAAAAGCTGTTTGTTAGCAATTTTGTCAAACCAGTTCCAAAGTAAATATAAGATACCCTTGATCCTCAAAATTAAACACACATTGTATAGATGTCATCTCAGGTTTCCTTAGCTTGGATTCCATTATTTAGCCAAACTGAGGATTATGGATAGTTCCCTCTGCGAACGACATCCCTCGTCCTATAAATTTTGATTCACTTTTAAGGCGCAGGTTGAGGAAAATGTCGCGCTAGTCGTTATTTGTGCGGTTTTTAGGAGCTATCTACTTTTTATTTAAAAGATATATCAATAAATAAAAAACACATTATATTTTTACATAATCTTGATTCCATAAGAGTCATATCCATTTTTTTAAAGGAATAAATATTAATATAGTCTCCTTACAACGAAACCACATAAATGTGAAATAATTATTGATAACATGCATCTCCTCGTAAAGTAAGTAAAGTAATAATTTGCGATTTACACCAATGGATTGGCAATTTATTAATGAACATTTCAAATTATTTTAAAAACTGGGCATATTCACTGCCCACGGGTTTGCTGGAGTCAGTGAGCGCTAAGCTCTTGAAGGTGAAACCCGTGTCGTTTGTCACGGCGTCAGCCAGCGCACATGCTCGCTGACGTCATCTTATCAATCGATAATGTTATTATTAGTTATTAGGTTATTTATATCTTCACGCACAATCCCTGACGGGGTAGCCAGAGAGAACAGATCGCCAAGTGTCACGATCCTTACATATCTCTTTCGCTTCTTTCAGATTCATTATCTTCTTCATACATTGTGCGTGAAGATAAGTAAGTAAGTAAGAAAGGTTATTTATAGGTAGTATTATTTGTTTGTTTTGGGTATAATTTTTCGTATTAGTTATACATATATTTGTTGTGTTTTTTACTGCGCGATGAAGCTTTTTGCGTGGTAAGGTTAAGGTTCGAATCCATAATTAACATTTCGACAAATATTATAATTTACACTATAAAAGGCTAATTTAATATTATCAGTATAGTATACAGTTAAAAATAATCCTAATACCCAACCACAATATCTTAGTAGGTATAGTATATAGTATTTCAACTTTAAAAATTCCTGCTATTTTAATTAGGGCACAATATTTTTAAACATTTGTTTTAATCGATAGGTTATTTATGGACAAATGTAATGAACATTTATTTCAAATCAAATTATTTCAAGAACAATTTTGAAAACGACGATAAGCAAAAAAAAGGCGTTATGGCTCAAATTCCAGCCACCCTGTACCGAATGTCGTCCTTTTGTGTACCTAATGTCAGCATAGCATAGCGTTATGCCTTTTGAGTTTTTGTTAATTTTGAATCTGAATGTTACAAGCATGGAATATGTATTAAGGCTGGCGACAACATTATTTTATTTTAGCTGTTCAATAAATTAAAGCAAATTATGATAAAATATTATCCTAGTATTCAAATCATCATCGTCATTACAACTTTACACAAGTCAACTACTGAACATCCGGCCGACTTTCCTTGTTATGTGTTTTTCATTTATGTTCTAAGTTATAATTAGTATTACTAAGTTATAGTTTTTTTGCTGAAATATAGTATATTATTTATTGCTTGTTTCTTTCTTCTTTTTCAAAAAATAATTGAGTACATAAGGTGTTCTTAATATACACTGAATGTCAGAGAGAAAAGCTAGTACATCTTTTGCTAAACTTTAAAATCTAAAACCAGTTTTAAAACACGAATTGATCATAACTCCCTTAGCTATAAAATAAGTTATGATCTAATTAATGGTATTTATTCCAGCTTATTGCAGCCCTGATTTATATTACGTGGCTGAAATTAGGTATTTTTTATTAGGTACATCAAACCAAATAACAGCCGGGCGGCTGACATTATGCACTCCATACATTTCTTATATCTAATTACAGCCCCATTAATTTCCACTAAAAGAAAATAAATGACTTGTAAATTTAAACAAAAATAACTGCATTACTATGTCTATAGTCATATTCATACAAATCAAAAAGCCTATATATGAGATAATGTAAAACTAATCACAATAGGTACCTATGTAGATATGATTAGATAAAAGGTACTTATCTAAATATTTACCTACTTTTACTAAGTAAGTACTGATACCTACCCGGGCATCATTTTACAACCCAAATTATAGGGGTATAAGTAAACTGACCATTTATTAATAACTTTATACAATTCACTGTTCACTTTAAACTAAAACAATGTTCACTATAAAATTATATTCGGTATAGACGGTAATTATTAAATGCAACATATTTTTTTTAATTACTAATTACATTTGTCAGTGGAACTGCTTTAATAAAGTTAACTATGATTTTAAATAAGAATAAAATTCTGGGCAAGTGTTTTTTTATTGTTACGTTTGTTGACAACATCGCCTTTAGAACTGGAACCGTAAGTGTTTTTTTCAGACGTCCACAATTTATTCAAAATAGAAAAATACTCTTTCTACTGGAGCATTTGTACCAGGTAGACATAAAATATATTAGATTAAAAAAATAATGTTGAAGATTGTAGGTGCGAAAGACTTTGAATACTTCCATCCAACGAGTTACGGGACCATTTTATATCCCGGAGATTTTTTTGGGGACAATGGGACAGGTGACCGCGAAAAGGGACAGTCCCGTTCAAAACGGGACGTATGGTCACTTTACCTATAACCCTTATACTTCTTGTTGATTTTTGTATTACCTTTATTATAACCCTTATGTATAAATGAATATAATTACGTACGTAGAAATAAAATTGAATAAAAATAAAAACAGACATGTTTTTTTTCATCGTCATCAATCATTGGGGTGAGGATACACTGATACACTGAAAATTTCGGGAATCAAGGAAGTGACACAACATTACTATTTAAAAATGTATTTATTGCTTTTCGAAGTATTCTCCGCGAAATTTGACACATTTTTCCATACGATGGAACCAATCATTGAAGCAACCATTCCATTCGGATGTTGGGGTCTCCAAAATGGCCGTTTTGTAGGCGTCCACAGCTTCTTCAGGTGATGAAAATCTCTGTCCACGCAATTTATTCTTTATTTTAGGGAAAGTATAGAAATCATTAGGGCTTAGGTCGGGGCTGTACGGCGGATGGTCTAATAATTCTATGTTTTCTTGCTCTAAAAACTCTTTTGTTCTGTGTGCGGTGTGAGAACTCGCATTGTCGTGATGAAGGATGATGCGGCGGTTGCAGTTCTCTTTACGGAGTTCAGAAACGACCTGTGGCAAACAAATGCTAGCATACCATTCTGCATTAACCGTTCTTTGTCCCTCAAGAGGAATAGTCGTAACATGGCTGGTTTTGGGGCCAAAGGTGGCCACCATTTTTTTTGCAACACTCCGTGAACGAACAATTTTTGTTGGCTTTAACTCATTTTCGCACACCCAAACTCGTGACTGGTTTTTTGTTTCGGGATTCGTCACCTGATACGATGTTGTATACAGCATTTGAGGATCCTGCGTGGAATCTTTTGAGAGTTCTGACGCACCAAGTAACGTGAGCCGCTTTTTGCTCTTCACAGAGCGAATGCAGTATCCATCGGGAAAACAACTTTTTTACACCTAATTGTTCATGCAAGATTATTTGTATTTCACTCATGCCAATGTCTAAAGTTGCCTGAATTTCGCGGTATGTCACATGTCGATCTTCCTCAATCAGCTTACGCACAGCATCAACGTTTTCTTGGGAGACTGCAGTTTTTGGACGACCTTGACGGGGATCATCACTGAGCTTGACACGTCCACGTTGAAATCCAGCAAACCAGATAAATTGTGGTTTTGGATGGGGCTTCATCACCAAATGCAGAAATCATCCGGTCAACACACTGTTTTTGTGTTAAACCACTTCGAAAGTCATAATAAATCATCGCTCTTGAATTTTCTCGAGTCAATTCCATTTTCTCAACGACTAAACAAGTTTGACAAAACCTTTTGACAAGACCGAGAATCTTTTTTTAAATAAATAAATGATATTCAATTTAAAAAAAACCAAGGACTTTTCAATTAAAAAGATTTTAATATGACAGGAACAGTGGAAATATTCCATTCCCGATACTTTTAGTGCAGCCTATGTAATGTCAGCCAGCATAAATAATAAGCAGGCTAAGTTACAAGGTGCTCAGTTCAAAAAATAGTAGGTAGGTATGTTACTTTTCAATACGTGACACGTAAAAATTTACAATAATGAAAAACACATTTGCGAAACATCCTATTTATTTTTTTATTCTTTATTGCATCAAATATTTGTACAGAAGGCGAGCTATCTATTTACCAATAGTGAGTAGGTATCTTTTAAACTCACATTTTTAATATATAATTAATTATAAAATTTCATAATTAGATAATATATGAGAATACATTTATCGTTGTGCGCCGTGTGTATTTCCATAAAATAGTTTATTGATGTTGAAAAAATAATACTAGGTTCGTACAGTAGGTGGCGTCTTGCATTCTTACGCTTTATATTGTAGCGACAGTCGGCGGCGACCGAATGCTCATGGTCGTTCGATAGGAGTAGCCCCTTAACCTACACAAACACTCCTAATGTATATATTTTGTGTGATTTTATTAACACTAGTAGTATAAAAGTTTAATATTTGTCAATACTAATATACTAATGTAGTTATAGCAACTGTGTTTGTTATTTGTTCTAGGTAATTCAACAGTACAACCACTAGTATTACAAGATAAAAAGGAAAATTTAATTGCTTAAAGAAAATAAGATACTTGTATTATCACAATCTTCTTTTGTACATGGGCATAGTATTTGTAACTACTGAGCTTCTACTCAATAAACACTTTCACGCTGACACTGGCGATACTCAAACGATAATCAAAAACCGTCATAAAAAAGAAAGAAGAAGAAGAAGAAGAACGCTATAAAAACGTAATAATAATGAATGATAAAAAGAAAAACTTAAAACTTAAATGGTGTGTGGATTGGTTACAAAAACAAAATGAACAAGAACCGAAGAAGTTGTCTTTACAAAATAAAAACGATATTCAGTTTATTATCCAAACCAACACCGACAGGAAAAACTTTCTTCTAGCGGCAGCTGAAGACGAAGCAACGGTGCCGCCTGGAGTTGATGAGGCAGAAATTGAACCAAAACATGTGGTAGGTAAACTTTATTTCTGAAAATTCCAAATTAAATATATTATTGATCCAATAGAGTCGTGATAACTCAGGGGTTAAGTGCTTGCTGTAAATTTTATAGTTTTTTTTTTTTTTTTTTTTTTTTTTTTTTTTTTTTTTTTTTTATAGGATGAGGGTGACAAACGAGCACGCAGTCCACCTGATGGTAAGTGGTTGCTGCGGCCCATAGACATCTACATCTATCCTCTGTTACAAATCAAAATGCAGATGCGCTGTCACCCGCGAGGACTAAGATGGAATGCCTCATTTCCAGTAAAAAGGGCCTCCGGCCACCTGCACTCACCAAGCGAAACGCAGAGGTAAACCTCTACTTCACGCTGGTTTTCTGTGAGGTCGTGGTACTACCCCGGTTCGAGCCGGCCCATCCGTGCGACAGCAAAAGCTGCCGCGTGGCTCTACCACGTACCATAGTACGCGAGCAACTCGGGCTTGATCCCCGCCGGCACCAATAAAATCGTTAATTAGAATTTTAAGTGCTGAATTACTACGTGCTAGGTGGTGAAGGAAAACATCGTGAGGAAACCTGCATGTCTGAGAAATAAGAAAAAATATTTCGAAGACATGTGAAGTTCCAACACACATTGGCGCAGCGCAGTAGACATTTCCTTGCCCTAAAACTCTCATTAATGAGAGGAGGCCAGTGCCCAGCAGTGAGACGTGTCTAAAACAACTTGTTTTATTGGTTCTCCGATTTGTGCAATATCAGAAGGAATACCATAGCTAACATTACCAACATGTGTTGACCAACCTGTTGGCATGGAACCAGGAGTAGCGATTCTATTTTGTGCTTCCACCCGTTTTGAGCAGTGAGGTTCTTCATGGTCAATTTGCTCTTCAATTCTTTGTTTTTTTCCAAAGAAAGCCCGTATATCCATCGCAAAATCATTGAATCTTCAATTTATAGTAATTAGCAATAAAAATAACAATTATATCGATTTTTGACTAAACACTCTTTACCGTACACTTCACTTAACCAAACTACAAACACCTCCCTAGCTAATATTATTTTTGCACTTTTCGTAATGTATTTTCATCCTCGCAACCAGACCTTGTATTTCTTTTTTACATTTGTTGCATATAACCTGACAGCCAAATACATATTAAAAAATATAGGTTACACACTAACATTATTGTATTTTAAAGTGGCGCCGGTAGTATTATATCTACGTACAGTTATTTATTATGAAACGTTGCGCTAACAAAAACAGACAAATTATAGGGCATACCTATCGTTAGAAAAAGATGAATATAAGTCATTAGTTGCGTATTGATTGCTGCTGAGCGCTCATTGGCGCGAGCGCGTGACATACCGATATGGAAAATGAACAATGAATAACTAGAAGATTTACGCGCTGTAGCGAAGGTATAGCCGCAACGCGAGAGCGTGCCTGACTGAATGCGAGTCGGGCAATTACCTGACTTTCGTATTGCCACTTTAGAGCGAGTATGACGTATCTATACTTTTAAAAACATCTTAGCTGACAGCCAGTTTCGGTAGTTCTCTTTTCTGTAAAATGATCCCAAATCCCATCCCAGAGGCATTTTATTTATAGCAAAATTGGTCACGCACGCATCACAGCAAAAGCAATAGTAAACAAAACTGCATGAATGAATGCTTGTTAGAACGAAAATAAGACCGTAATTGCAAGTGAAATATTCAAAACACTACACGGGAATTTTCCTTTTGCTTGACATTCACAAGTCAGACAAAAGGGAAATCCCCGTGCTGTGTCCACGCAATTCCTTGAGGATGCGTTCCGTTTTGCGCAAAAGTATAGTTAAATTAAATAATAAAATGAAAAAATCCAAAAAAATCGTGATTAATTAGGATTTTTTCCAACTCTGATTTCGTGCCCTCTATATAGTTCACGTAATAGTGTTTTTTGAGAACCTATTTCAATGTCAACTCATAAACATTCCGAAGAGTCATACTTTGTGTTATACTGACTATTTAGCTTTGATATCATAATTTGAAGTAATATTGTTCAATACAAAAACAGCGATTCCTTCACTTCGTTTATCAGTATGGTCGTTTCTGTATAAGTCGTAACCTGGTATTTTTATCAGTGAGTCAGGTATATTTAGCTTCAGCCAAATATCGAAGGAGGACTATAATTGATGGTGTCAGTTGATCAACTTTTGCAATTAATAAATCTGGTTTAGATGTTATCAATGGTATGTTTGTGTATAAGATTGTTAAAGTTATGAGTGCGGAAAATATCGAAGTTCGCGTTTTTTGTTAAAAAGATTTACTAATGAGGGTCGGTGAATTTGAATCAGTTTTTTGTCTCTTGTTTACAGACAATTTTCGGCTGCCCCTGTATATACTATATGTACATCTAACGTAATTAACGCACATGTTGTTTTTTTATTTGTCTTATACATCTACTTGTTGTTTGATCCAATTGACACAAATTCTTGTCTTCTGAAAGATGGTAAATGGGCTGTCGAATAGGACACAAATAAACATCCTCCTCATGTAAACATAAATATAAGTCCTTGTTTGTTATTTTTAAATAAATGTCCTTTCGTAAACTAATTGCTGTGTATTCTCCAATTGGAAAAATGCTTATCTCTATATTATTTTTCACCTGGTGTGGAATTCAGACACGTTACTATATTATGTTGTAATCATAATACATGTACACTGACTTCTTAGTTAAATATGTTTATGCATTGATTATTTATTAAATTGGTTATACTAATTCCGGAAGAATGTTTTGGTCACAGTACAAATCCACAAACGCACACAGAAAAAGACACATATAAGTTATATGAGGGTCTTGCTAGCCTAGTAGGTGTTCGCTCGCGTTCGAGATGAGTGAACGCCGCCACCGCTTGACACAACTTATTTTATTAGGTATTAGTGCCGAAAAAAGCCGACAATACACGATTGGTTATGTTAAAAAATACCTACCTATGAAAGTTAACAGATGTCGGAACTCCGAGCATCGAGTTGTTTATTTAAGTCAGTAAATATTTGATTGCATCTTTCCATCACACTTTTCAGGCTTTGAACTTTCGACTCTAATGTTGTTTATTGATTATGATACAATGTCAATAGGCAATATTCGTTAGTCGTTACAAAATGTTATGAATTTGCATAACATTTTAATTGTAATTGTAAATAGTAATGAACTGCTAAAATAAGAGGCGAAACGACAACATAATTCAAAGACGGCGTGTTTAAAATATGTGAATCAAGATTACAATAATTTGTAGAATGAAATATTTAACTTACTAACTAGAGTGGCTTTTCTATGTAAAAAAAGTCTATTTTTGAACTAAAACGAATCATATTGTCAGCTGATGATAAAAGGGGCCGAAACTTCTTATTATAAAAAATCATTTTAGTATATATTGTATATTTTCATTTTTAGCCTGTCCATCGACTGCGTGTGGAGGATTTGTGCTTAGAATGCGAATGGCATTCATGCCGATGGAAATTTTCAAACTATGAACTATTCCAGAAACATGTTACTGATCATATTTCTGACCTCCATGTTATCAAAAAAGAAAAAAATGGTGAGTTGAAGTTATATTTTTGGTAATCTATACAAATAAATAAAATTGAAGTGTCTGTTTGTAATGTCAAAATTACAGCTTTTTACTCAATGCAAATAAAAGTATATACGGTAGTTATAACAAAAATACAATTTAATTTTTTTATCTGTCTGTCTGTCTGTTTGTTCCGGCTAATCTCCGAAACGGCTGGACCGATTTTGACGGGACATTCACTGGCAGATAGCTGATGTCATAAGGAGTAACTTTTATTTCAGAAAAAGAATTAGGGTTCCTCGCAAAAAAATTAAAACCCTAAAGTACACGCGGGCGAAGTCGCGGGGAACAGCTAGTTAGGAACAAAATTATTTTATAGTAATTATAATTATGAAGAAATTATGACTCAAGTCTGCTTGCATCGATTACTAACTCGCCAATGCGCAAATGACGTACATGCGAACAAATTGTGATTGTATTAGATTTTTTTTTCTAAAACTTAAGTAAAAAACAAACTTACAGTCCATGATGGTAAGTCGCTACTGCAGTCCATGGGCACCTGCAGTCAACTTCAAACAGTGAAGACTACAGATGCGTTTCATCTCTGAGGATTAAGATAAAATGCCTCACAGCTTGTTATTATACTGCCTCTACACCATCGATATCTATACATATAATAAAACTGTAAATAGCAGATGTCTGTACATTTAATATTTTTGTAATAAAAGTGATTGAGGGGTACTAAATATAAGTAATTAAATACATTTCTACCATTTTTAGAATTTTCTGTCTGTCTGTCTGTCTGTCTGTCTGTCTGTTTGTTTGTTAACGTATCACGTATAAAGTACTAATTTATATCATAAGAATTGTTAAGGAAATTATAAAGTGTATCTTCGGGTTACATTTAGTCTTTATTTCATTAAAATCAGTTCATTCCATCAAAAGTTATGATAAATATTCTGAAGTATGGGTAGGGAAGTATAGGTACGAATTGCTCAACGGTGGCTTTGTTTGAGTCATCAAGTGCATTTTAAACTAATATCATATCATAAATCATAGTTAAATTATGTAAAATAATGATATAATTATGTATATCTAAAACGCAGTAAACAAAAGTAATAAAGAACGTATTAAATATATTATACAAAAATATATTAACGTTATTAACTAAATCTGAAGCACAATAGTTAACCCATTTCTTCGATAGATGGTGGTGTCGTGAAAATGCAATGCAATGTTTTATTAAAATTGGTTAATTCTATCGAAAGTAATGATTATTATTTTGAAATGTAGGTTCGAATTTGTTCAATGGCGCCATAAAATCTCAGAAATAGTAATATAAAGATTTCTGTGTAAAAAAAACGTTCCATAATAATTAATATATTTATACTTAAAACACAAAAAGAGATAGGATGTTTTCTCACACAAAAGACGTAATAGATGGAGTTGTACAAATTACAAACTTTTCTGAATCGTATCGTAGATGACGCCTTGACACATATGAGTATTGGTATTGTATAGTTTGTAATATGTAGTATATTGTAATTTGTATTGTATAGCCAATATTATTTGTAAATTATGTGTTTCTTTTTTATGTTATCTGTGATGGCGTCATTTTGGAGAATAAACCTTTCTTTCTTTCTATTGAGACTTACTGAAGAAATTTGTATCCATCGAAGCCATACAACGGAACCCGACCAAAAATAAAAATTTCGCAACGAAATGTCGTGATATTGTATTTATAATATACGCAAAATCAAAACTGCCATTTTAGCGCTTTGGGAACTAGATTTAGCACTTTTTTGGAATGTATAGCGCGCATTTCGAAATTTTAGCACCTAGCGCTTAATCCAGCGTTTTTGGTGTATTTAGCACACATTTCAATATTTTAGCGACTAGCGGGTTATTAACTCTTTTATAGCAGCACTGTTAGTCCACATTACCGATAATAATAATAATGACCTTTATTATTTTTTCCCACAAATAGTACATTGCAGTTTATCTTTTTCAAACATATTTTTTCCACAAAACAAAGAGCATGGGAGACGTGTCCAAACTAGGATACCCTGTGCTATGGATCTCCTGGCTTCCCCTTTAGGATGATCAACTTGATTTTTTTACCGACTATAAGCGGGGAAATCCCCTTTATTAAAGTTTTCGTTCATGGTTTTGGCAACGCATTTATTTTGCTTTATTCAGTTTCAGTCAGTTGCTTAGAGCACAGCTAAGTTAAAAGTTACTTAGAAGTTATAACACAAAGAAACTGTGTAGCAACCGCAATCAGATGCTGACATCTGAAACTAAGTTGCGAAATACATTGCACTTTAAAACAATTAATGACATTTTTATTGTTCGTACAGTACTAACTACTGTTGACAGCAATTGCTATAATTATAAGTCGATGTCCTGCGAAGTATTGATACATCAAAAAAATATTGCCAGAAAAAAAACTTAATGTTGTTTTCTTTATTATGATTATATAAAAATACACAAACTTTGTTTGTAGTTAATTTAGCGCGAAATCTAGGGCTTTTTTAAAGCGCTGTTTTCATGAAATCTAGCGCTTTTTGTGTTGTCCTAGAGCTGAATGAGTTTTTTTTTATCTGGCAGCACTGCCCAAAAACCCTCTATTAAGAAGTAACTTTCCTTTCAGTTTTAAGCGCGTTCAGTTCCCAGTTACAGTGAGTTTATGTTATGCGATGACCGTAAATAAAGCGCAAGGTCAAACTTTACGCGTTGTAGGAGTGTACCTCAGTACTGACTGTTTTGCACATGGCCAACTCTATGTTGCTTTTTCCCGCGTTAGTAGCCCCCATAACCTTTTTGTGTACACCCCGGCTAAGCCTACTTCTAACGTCGTTTACACAGAAGCTCTATCATAAACGACTTAGAACTTTGATGATAATGATTTATTTAGTTACCACTTATTGATACAGTAATGAAATAAATCGTTTAATATTCTCTTACCTAAACGACAAATTCTTTATGTAAAACCTGTATACGCGAGCTACGCCGCGGGCACAGCTAGTATAATATATATTACTACGTACTAGATTTCGCATTTAGAACATACACTATATTCAACTGAACTGTACTGCAATCCGTACAGTGTGTCATTTAGTGTGGTTTCGATGTACTAGTTAGTCTGTGGTTTCAATATACATGCAGTGTGGAGCGGAGCTAATAATAAAAGATTTTAAATTAAAGTTTCAATTAAAAACTGACCGCGCAGGCGCAACGCGCTTAAATCAACTGCGTATGCGCGACTCTACTAACTCCTGCGCATGCGCGAAGACATAGAGTAGTGCATATTTTTTTTGTTTAGAATCACATTTTTTGTTTAGAATGGCTTCTCTAGTATGTAGTACATATAACTCAATGCTCTACACTTCAGATTAGAACACAACAGTGCCGGCACTGCTATTTGACGGCACAAACAGGCAAGAGAGTAATACCAACCCATACGAATTCCCGGAAACATAAGTAGTCCTACCATCTAGTTAAGAGCTTTGGCATTGAAGATTTTGTTATTAAAGAGATTAAGACTAAAGGCCGGTTCACATCATACGGAAAGTATCAGTGAGAATGGAAACAGAATAGAATAGATAGCGCCCGCGCATATCTTGACTCCCAACTGCGTCGACCCTTTGGAGAAAAGGCGTTGAAATCCTCGTGTACGATCTCGGTATAATGACATCAGATATACTCGCGTAATTGAATGATCAAATAACAAGCGGCGATGGCACCCTAGCTGGCTGCATTTTGCGAAATGCGCGAGTGGCCAGTATTCCTATATGAATATGTATGTTTTTTTATGTGTGTTACCTTATAACATTTTACTGGGTGAACCGATTTCGATGATTTTTTTTTTATTTGAAAGCTGGTGCTTCACATGTGATCCCGTATAAATTTGATCGAGGTTTTTGAGTTATTCTTAATAATTTATATTGAAGTCGGTTGTACAAAATTATAATTTTTTTTATATTTAAATTCAATTTAGTAAACAAATTCAAACATTTTGTTTCTTACATTGCAAATACGCTTTGACACTCAAATACGCAATCCACTCAGTCATGGTAGAATCCTATTCCATCATCATTATACAACCCCAACACAAGTCCACTGCTGAATGTAGGCCTCCCTAAGAAACGCCACAAAAACCGGTCCTAAATCATTCTATTAAAATTTTTGTAATAATTTATTAGTTATTACAATAATTTTACTGTATTTGGTGGTATGAATTTTTTGTTTCAGAGAATTATGTCTGCATGTGGGATGTATGTGGGCACATAACATCCGACTTCAATGAGATGTGCCGCCACATAAACTATCACGCATATCATGCAAAGCTCCTGGCAATCGGTTACAACGGTCGGGCTACACTTAATTTGGCACGATGTAAAAAGGATTCAAGTAAAAGAAATCAGTTGCCGCCATCAATAAGTGAACATCGTTGTTTGTGGGTTGATTGCGAATTCACATTTAATTCTATGCAGGTATTTTTTATACCTAATATCTATTACTTTTAGATAAAAAGTATTTGAATGTTGTCTTGCAAATTTGACTTCTAGTGGCAAGATAAAATTAAACATGTAATATTAACCTTTACGTGGTAGAGCCATGCTGCAGCTATGTAAACCACGCTCTCAGAGAAAACCAGCGTAAAATGGCAACTTGACACTGCTGTGTTTCGTATGGTGAGTGTAGAGAACCGGATACCAATTTTACTGGAAAAGAGGCATTCCATCTTAGTCCTCACGGGTGACGGCTCATCTGCATTTTGGTTCTTTAATGAGGATAAATGTAGATATCTATGGGTCACAGCTACTACTGATCATCAGGTGGACTGTGTGCTCGTTTGTCACCCTATCCTATAAAAAGAAAACCGTGTAGTGGTGATAATAACCGTGTAATGGCGGAGTTAACTGTGTAGTGGCTGTGTAAAAATATGACGTAAAGAGAGCGACAGAGAACAACTAAACCAGGAGATGGAGTAGCATAGCTTGGTAATAATAACTAGAAAATTAAAAAAAACTGTGGTTGCCTTCTCGTCTGCCAAGCATTGCAACTATAGCAAATATGAGGCAATCTATTGGGATGCCTATGGACTTTGATAGTCCGTAATGAATGATAAATGATGAAAGGTCATCACCCCATATTATCTTGTGGGTGTAATAGGCAACAGAGAGAAACTTTATCAGGAGATGGGCGACAGCATCTTCCTGATAAATAAAAAGACTGCAGTTGTTAACCAACTTGCACAGCGTGCCAATTATGGCAAATATCTTTCTTATATGGCACTTGCTTATTGCTTTGTGGCTATCTATGAGGGACTATGTTCAGCAGTGTACTTGTGATGATAATTGCAAATTCAATGTGATCGCAGATCCAGATCTGGGTATTTTACGAATGTCGTAAACAAGATGGCGGTATTTGAAAGCTACAAGATCTTTCTGGCATGTTCCATTACGTGCACTTGAGGCGCAAGATAAGACTACAAAAATACATTTGCTACCGTTTCTTTCCAGGCATTTCTTGATCACGTCAAAAGTCATGTGAACATTTCAGAAGAAGGAAGGCTTTGTTCGTGGGCGGGTTGTGGTGCCACTTTTACCCGTCGCACTTTTCTAACAACACATGTACGTTCTCATACGGGGGAGCGTGTGATAGCCTGTTACCATTGTGGCCAGCATTTCGCCAGTAACAGGAAACTCTGCGACCATTTGAGGAGGCAGGTGAGTTCAGGCGGATGCAGCTTTAAAAGGTGTAGTATATTTTTTTAATACAGGCTATGAAAATTTAAAACTTGAATCTATTGATGGTAAAAATAGAGGAAAAAGCAAAGCAATGTATAAAGATTAAGTCAATACCCCATGGTTTAACGCCGAGTGCGTTCGTGCTGAAAAGCACAAGCATATGGCGTACTTATCCTGGGTCGATGCTCGAGACTGTAAAGCTCTGGATCTTAGCCTTAAGAAGAGAGCCTTTAATCAAGCCGCCAAGTCCTGCAAAAAGGCATTACGCCAAGCCAGTTTCGACCGCATTAAACACATCGGCACAAAGCTCTCTGTCAAACCATCTGGCAGTAGAGCTTTTTGGTCTCTCGCCAAAGCGGTCGAGACAAACTTCTGTCGGTCTACACTACCTCCGCTGGTAAAACCAGATGGCTCACTGGCGCATGCGCCTAAGGAGAAAGCGGACTTATTTGCTTCTCTTTTTGCTTGCAATTCACCTCTGGACAGTAGCAACAGCGTACCATCTCCATTACCTCACTGCGGTACCTCTATGTCAGAGGTCCGTATCACCAACAAGGAGGTTCTTAAAACTTTGTGAAGTCTAGACGTGAATAAAGCTAGTGGACCTGATGGTTTACCAGCTATAGTTCTAAAGGTCTGTGCACCTGAGTTGTCTCCTGTGTTGACGCGCTTATTCCGCCTCTCATTCAGGACTGGAATAGTGCCTAAATCTTGGAAGCTGGCCAATGTGCAGTCTGTGCCTAAAAGAAGGTAGCCGTACCGACCCTGCCAACTATCGCCCAATTTCAATTACTTCGAGCGTACATTGAACGCCCACCTCTTGGCATGTCTAGAGTAAAATGATCTCCTCGAAATGAAATCAATCAACTGAGGACCTTCTAGCGTATGCCACTCACATATGGGGTGAAGCCATCGAGAACAGTGGTTTGACAGGGTTTGGCACGCTAGTCTATTGGGCAAACTTTCAGCGTATGGCTTATCCCCTGGCTTGATTGTCTGGGTGAAGGACTTTCTGAATGAATGGTCTCTCCGAGTCGTCGTTGATGGCTGCTCATCCGATACTGTGGCGACTAACGCCGGTGTTCCTCAGGGGTCCGTTCTCTCCGCAACTCTCTTCCTGCTGCATATAAATGATCTGCTCATTCTCTGTATCTATGGGTATGCCGACGACAGCTCAGTTGTGGAGAGATACCAACCAAGCGCCCGGGCCAGTCGGGATCAAATTCAGTCAGAAAGAGAGGCTATGGTTGAGCGTGTGAGTCTCACACTACAGGCAGTTTCCAAATGGGGCGATGCCAATCTCGTGAGATTTAACGCCTCCAAAACACAAGCGTGTCTTTTTACCGCTAATAGGAGCCCGCTCACCTTGGCTCCTACATTCCGGAATGTATCCTTGGAGTACACTGACCGCCTTCAGTTGTTAGGGATTGAAATTCTCCGAACCTAAACTATGGGGGTTCATTGAGTCCAGAGCCAAAGTAGCTGCAAAGAAACTTGGTGTCCTTGCAAGGACGGCGGTATTTTTTTGGGGCAAAATTCCGCTCAAAAACAACTGTTCGTGGCAAACTGAGCAACAATACCAAGGCGACCCCTGCTATCCGTGAATTTCTGTAACATCAGGGGACTTCACTTGAACCTAAACGCCGTCCACTACCATCTGGCAAGACGGCGAAGCCGGCCTTGGTCTTTCTGACCGAGAGGCAGGTGTCCTCTCCGGCTGATACTTCATATCTCTCCTACCCGGGGTACAAATTGGAGCACTCCTTTGTGCCTCGGGCTGGAGTTTGCGTGTATGTCAGAGAGGACATCTGATCTCGACGCCTCGGCAGTCTTGAAAGTTCGGACCTGTCCATCCTTTGGCTAAGCGTAGACAGCGACGACCATCCGCGCGTCTACGGGTGCCTCTATAGGTCCCATAGCGGTAATGCCGAAACAGACCAACTCATCGACCACGTCCAAATGGCTACAGATTCCTTGCTACAACAGGTCCCATCCGCAGAGATCGTGATCCTTGGCGATTTTAACGCCCACCACGCCGAATGGCTCGGTTCACCTTTAAGCGATCATGCGGGGAGATCTGTTTATGACTTTGCCTTGGCATATGGTCTGACACAACTGGTTACTTCGCTTACGCGGATTCCAGATGTGGAGGATCATACACCTTCCCTGTTGGACCTTCTGCTGACCTCTTATCCGGATGGATATCAGGTTTCCGTTGATGCCCCTCTCGGCTCTTCGGACCATTGTCTGATCCGGAGTGTGGTGCCACTCAGGCTCCCCTCGCGGTTGCATTTTGCAGGCTGCCGCCGTGTTTGGCATTACAGGTCGGCGGATTGGGACGGAATGCAGTCTTTTTTTGCATCCTACCCATGGGGGCGGGTTTGCTTCTCGCCGGATGATCCCAGCGCTGTTGCTGACTCTGTCACTGATGTGGTGCTACAGGGAATGGAACTATTTATTCCATCATCTGTAGTACCCATCGGAGGCAGATCTCAGCCTTAGTTTGGTCCTCCTGTAAGACTGCATTACGCAGTAATCAGGAGTGTTATCAAGCCTGGGATGCTGCTTCGGCGACTCGGGATGTAAACACCAGCACACTTAAAAAGAAGTATAACTTCTCCTCCAGGTCCTTCAAAAGAGTTATTGCCAAGGCAAAGTCAGAGCACATAGACAGAATTGGCGAGAAACTAGTTCGCCTTCCTTCGGGAAGTGCATTCTGGTCTCTCGCCAAGGCTGTCCAAGGGAATTTCTGTAAGCCATCACTACCATCTCTGCATAGAGAGGACGACTCACTGGCCTAAGCCGCAAAAGACAAAGCCGACCTTTTAGGCTCCCTTTTTGCGTCCAACTCGACTCTTGATGACGGGGGGAAAACACCGCCGACCATTCCGCGGTGTGAGTGCTCCATGCCGGATGTGCTGCTGTTCTCACAGCGCTCGGTTCGCAAAGCACTCCTCTCCCTGGACATCCAGAAGTCGAGTGGGCCTGACGGAATCCCCCGAATTGTGCTGAGGACGTGTGCTCCGGAGTTAGCACTGGTCCTAACGCGTCGTTTCTGGTACTCCTACTCCCAAGGCGTAGTCCCGAATTCATGGAAGACAGCTTTTGTCCACCCGATCCCTAAAAAAGGCGACCGCTCAGACATGACTCTATCTCATGAAGCAAATACATTCAGACAAAGAAATTTTAATCGCCAAATATTATTTTTATAGTTTTCATAATAATTTTGTGAACTGGCCGCCATCTATCGTCAAGTAAACCTCATAAAAATAACAGAAAGACAGGGCCGTAATTAGGATTCAATTATTTTACCCATTAAACCAACATTCAATATTAAAATGAAGGAAATTGTACTTGGTTGATTTTTACGAAATATTTAAGTTATATTTAAGTCACTTTCTATATGCAAAGAACCACTTAAATACAATTTAAATATGTTTATCATTTCGTAAAAGTCAACCTTCAAGAAATATTTATTTTATCCTTAGTAAAATGAAGTCTCTTTGAAACTAAATATTCTATGTTCAATATTAAGTAGGATATTTAATTTGGAACTAAATATCCTACTTATCTCACTAATATTACAAAAGCGAAAGTTTGTGTGTTCTTTCTGTCTCCTTGAGCTTATTCCACACTAAGTATGTACTATGTATGTGTAATTTTTTCACGCAGAAACGGCTGGACTATTATTTATGTGTGGGTTATACTACTTAATATCTCTGAGGAAGCACAAATAATAGACAAATTATTATAATTAATATAATTTTATTTACAAATCAATTAAAATATAAATATTTTATTCCAAATTAAGCATCCGAATGCACTTTTTGAATGCCAATCTAAGACCATTAAATTGTATTTAAGTGATTCTTTGCATATAAAATATCACTTAAATATAACTTAAACATTTCGTAAAAGTCATCCTAAGTACAATTTCCTTCATTTTAATATTGAAAGTTGGATTACTGGGTAAAATAATTGAATTCTGATTACGGCCCTATCTTTTTGTTATTTTTATGAGGTTTACTTGACGAGTATACGGCCTGTTCTCAAAATAATTATAAACTATAAAAATAATATTTTGCGATTAAAATTTCTTTATGTCTGAATGCAAAACAAATATTCTGTACAAATATGCTGAGCTCTACGGACCTTTATATTTTTAGTTCACATGACACAAAGTGTCGCCATCTAGTGTCGAATATATTTAATTATATTTGAAAGCCGACGCAAAGAGATTTTTCTAGAACTATTTTAATAAATTAGGTGTAAAATTATTTACAAATGAAATGTGTTGCCATCCATAACATCAGAGCGTCTATCTGAGTAGTTTTTACACGATAAAACACAACACTTCATCCTTTTCTTCTTAATACCACGAAAATACACCGATTTGCGATTTTTTCAACACATAAGCGCATAGGACGAATGCTGACAGTATACTAACTAAAGCCACGCCCACTATGATGACGTCAGGACCTACTTAGAATCACAGTGCACAGTTGCTTATGCCGTCTCCTCTTTGTATTTGCTTCATGCCTTATACGGCCAGAAGCTATATTTGACTTATCTAATATTTTTATTTTTTTCATGTGATGGTTTGTCTAACACTTAAAGAAAACATAAACCCAAAAATGTCTTTGCATAGCACTTAGGAAATCACAATTTTTTTTGATTTTATTTCAATTGTTTGACTTAATTTTATAAGTACATACCTAATAACCTAACCTATATAATAATTAGTGTCCGACCGAAACAGGATTTTCAACGGAAAACGAAACCGAAAACGAACCTTCGGTCTGGCTGTCAGTTTCGGCCGAAACCGAAACCGAAACCGAACCCGAAACCGAACCTTATTTAGACATGTTCATTTTTTGATTGTATTTTGGAATGTGGTATAATTTTTATACATATACAGATAGGTAATGCATGTTAGTCAAAAACAGTAACTGTAATAGTCATGCAGCAATATATTTATT